ACAATATCACAACTTTTTGTGATGCAGACTGGGCATCATGTCCTCCTACAAGGAAGTCTGTAACAAGATACTTTATCAAGCTTGGCAACTCTGTTGTATCATGGAAATCTAAGAAATAGTCTACTCTTTCTAGAAGTTCAGCTGAAGCTGAATACAGAAGTATACCCACAATTGTAACTGAAGTTATTTGGATGATAGGTCCGATGAATGATCTAGGTATTAAGGTGCAGAAACCTATAGATGTGTGTACAGACAGTAAAGTAGCAATCTTGCTAGCTGCTAATCCTGTATATCATGAGAGAACAAAATACATTGAGGTCGATTGCCACTTCATAAGGGAAAAAATTGTACAAGGGATTATTTGTACCAAGTACACTCCAACACATGAACAACCAGCTGACATGTTAACCAAAAGACTGACCAAGGTTCAACATCAAGTTCTCAGTTCCAAGCTTGGAGTTCAAAACATCTTTTCACTTCCAAGCTTGAGGGGAGTGTTAATAGGAGTGACTTGAAAGATAAGCAAAGATTATAAGTTAGTTATGCCTTACTAGTTTGTTACAAGCTTAGAAGCTATTGTATATAAATAGATACATGTACATATTGAATACAAAATGAAGAAATAATAAGAATGAAAGCATAGAGTGTTTAACACTAGCAAGATTCTTCTTCTTTAAAGATTACTTCATCTTCTTCCTGATCTCTATTACTTCTTCTTACTCTCATTCTTCTTCTTCTTCTTCTTCTCCCTAATTTTAAGATTCATAAAACTACAGTTAGCTAATAGTACTGTGTAGTTATGTTGATGGTTACAGTCTTGCAGATAATAAGATTTACAGTTGTTACCAAAAAAATAGAAAATAGTATTTGTTTGTTTATTAGGTTCCATCTTTTAAACGTTCATCTGTTTCAATTAAATGAACTAACTTCCTATGTATGAGAACCAATTCGATTCGATAAAGACGATTTACTATTATTTACATATTAGTATATTAGCACCAACCAATTTAGGAAACTCAAACATACCAAAATTATGAAGATTTTAATATACATATTTTAACTCAAATAAACCATCGTTTGGTACGAGGGATAAGACAGTGGCGAAGCCAAAATTTTGACTAAGAGGTGTCAAAATATAAAGAAATGAAATTGTGTAAAAGCCAAGTGTCAATAATATGTGATATATATACACACCAAAAACTATTTTTACTTGCCTATGTAATGTAATTTTTCGACGAAGGGGTGTCGACCAGTGTATGTGGCTTCGCCACTGGATAAGAGATAACTAATTCTGAAATTAATTGTAGGATGAGTTTATCCAATGTTTGGTTGGAACAAAATCACGGGATAACTTGTTGGGGGATTAATTATCCTGAGATTGTAGTATTATCTTTTAGGGGTTGTTTGGTAGTGAGTATCAGAAGAAATAGTCAATGTATTATGTATGGTATTATTTAGTACTATGTTTGGTAGGAATTTGGACCTATGTATAATTACTTGGTATTATAGGATGTGTTACTAATATCTTCCATTTGGAGGTTAAGATTTAATACCATGAGATAAGTCTGTAAAAACAAAAATATCCCTCAAATCATTTTAATTATTTTGTTTATTTTCTTGATTTATGTTTTATATTTGTATTTTATACTAGTAAATTTATTTAAATAAATTAGCTTACAAATTATTTAGAGTGTATTGTTTGTTACTAAATAAATCCAATACAAATCAATACAATATTTGAAATGTGAGTTGTTTAATATTTTCTAATTAAAAAGACAAATATATCACCACACGACGTTTGTTATTTGTTGATATATATATATATATATTATTTTTCTGAGAAAAATGTATTCCTTAATAATAAAAACATGAGGATGATTTAAATAATTTATTCACGAAATAAAGAGAATCCAGTAAAAACAAACAAATGGTTATATGAAGGAAGAAATTTATGGGACGAACGAAATCATATCATTAGCAAAAATATAAAGATTAATCTTACTAATTCTATTTAGAAGAGTTCAAACTTTAATCAGTCTTATAAATGATTTAATGATTAGTAACTTAGACATGGAAGCGTCTGTAGTCCAACGGTTAGGATAATTGCCTTCCAAGCAATGGACCCGGGTTCGACTCCCGGCAGACGCAGATTTTTTTAATTATATATTTTTCTGCCTATTTTTTTTTTTCCCTCTAAGAAAAGGCACAAGCTCAGCAGTTATTAAAAAATGAAACCAAAAATAGATACATCCTACGTAAATGGTGGAGTTTAGATACATATATTAACCTGCTCATTAAGAAAATTATTCACTTTCATTAATAGTATAGCTAACTAGAAATCGGTGTTTGCTCATGAAGTGAAAAACACCTAAAACCTTGCTTTAACTTTTTTCACTTGTTTTTCTTTTAATCATTCATCAAAATAAATGATCTTTATCATCATATAATAAAAGTGGGAAGTTCCAAAGTGTAAAGTTGAAATACCATTTTACACCTATACTAAAAACTTCTTTTTAAAATCATATATTATTAGTTATTATATATTAAATATAGATATTATGGGATGCTAATTTTTTTCTTTTTTAATAAAATAGTAAAATGCATGAAGAATTTGAAAAGTCAGTTTATATATTAAATATAAATATTATGGGATACTAGAAATCTACTTTTTTTTTAATGAAATAGTAAAATGCCTGAAGAATTTGAAAAGTATGTTTTTCATTAAAAACATAATAATAATAATAATAATAATAATAATATCGTATAAATTATTAAAAGTGTGAAGAAATTTTAAAAAAAGTTAAATTGTTGTTTTTCCCCTATATTAAATTAAAATGTTATAAAATAGCTAATTTATTAAATATTCTATCATTAATTAAGAATATCATATTAAGTTTTACAATAATATAATTAATATGTATTTGAGTATACATACGGATGGATTAATTTCCTTGGTACTGCCACTTATTTCAATACTCTAGAATGAGTTTTCATTTTTCCATAGAGAAAAGACATAAAGTCACCACTGAAGTTGTTTCATATTTTCATAAAGACGCCTTAACTTTGGAAGTGTCCTATCACCCCACAGAACTTTTTGATATCTTTGTAAATGGGCCATTTTGACTCATTCCCCCATCTGGGTTGTTGCGCGTGATGCTCACTCTTTTCAACCCGTTCAGCCGACCCGATTCTTTACTAAAGTAGAAAAGTCTTTTTTTCTTTGTTATTTCTCAGCTTTCCAAATTCTTCACATTTTCTTGTCTCTCTATCAAGAAACTCGAGAACAAGAGGAAGGAGAGAGCGCAGGTAGCATACGAGAGGAGAAAGCAGTTGGCAAAACTTAGAGTTAAGGCTGAGAAAGTTGCTGAGGAGAAGCTTGGACCTCAACTCGCCATTATTGCTCTAATCAAGAATTGAATTGGGACATAGTTATTTCGAAGTACAAGTTTGTTGAAGATCGATAAATCGTCTTATAATTATCTTTCTCTTTTTGTTTCTCTTTCTTGGTATTGTAATTGGGTTTTGCTTTGATTTTTGCCTTTCTGTGTTTTTGGGTTGAATTTGTTTTAGTATTTTCTCACTTGGGTGTGAACAATTTTTGTTGGGTTTGAGTTTTTCAGTCAAATTAGGACTTCAAAATAGAGGGAATTTGAGAATTGATTGCTCAATTGAGACTTTAAGGAAGTTGTTAATGGAGATGATTATAAAGAAGAGCTTGAAAATGGTAATGTTGAGTTTGAAACGTAATGTTTTGGGGAAGAAGATGATTTAAATCACTTAAATAATTAATAAAGAAAACCAGTGAAATGTGGCACTTTTTAATTGAGTTTTATTAGAAAAAATAAACATTTACGCGCGTATTGTGCGTGCACAAACCAGTTGAGAAAATGGGTCAAAATGACCCTTTTACAACGATATTCAATACTTTTGTGGGGTAATAGGACACCCGTATAGTTAAGGTGTCTTTTTGAAAATTCGAGACAACTTTAGGTGTCACTTTATGTCTTTACTCTTTTTCCATACCAATTCAATGTTTTAAAGTTCTTTTCAACTTCTAACAGTAAGCTTTCATAATTTTATAAATAGCCAGATCAGTGAATCATGCTAGACTAGATCCATTGATGTTCTCCCCCTCCTCTTCTTCTTCTAAATTCATCTTCAATGTGACTGGTAAGGGTTCCATTGATATTTCTCATATGTCGGCTCTCTTAACCATCTATTAACTTATTATTATGCTTGATTATGAATTATTTTTGGGCTGCTAATAATTCTATCACGGCATACATAGTTTCTTCCTTTATAAATTGGACATAAAATGTTAGTCCACTAGACTTTCTTATGAAAATTTTAATTTATTGGTTATTCTTTCTTATTCAGATTAATATATTGCTTTGTTTAACCTTTTTCATTTTGTATGCATATGATGACATGTATATTTTATTGTTTTATTTTAAGTTAATTGGGTTGATATTACACATATTTCTATACATAAGTTAGGTTTATATAAATTTTATATAATAATAAAGATCAAACGTGCAAGAAACATTCTCAGAACTAGTATGCATATCATAACATGACTTTAAATAGTAGTATAACATTGGTTCAATAGTGAATGTTTTGAGTCCAAAAGACGAAAAAACTATTTATGCAACATTAGTTGATGTTACTAAAAGAATTTCCGAAGCAATAAGAGAATTCCCTCTATTTTGAAATCCTAATTTGACTCTATTCTCATTAGCTTATCAATAGATTATAGACAAACTGAGCCAATAATCCATGTGATTTGTGTTTAAATTTATGAAAGTGGAGTAATTAATAAGAGAATTAAGTTGCAAATCAATAATTGAAAAGGATAATTCACTTCAAAACAGAGAACACCAAATATTATTACACTAATCAGAAATCATACATGACATGATCTCTGATTATAACTGAAGCACACAGTAATATATATAACATAATAATAGCACATCAAGTAGTCTTCATTCTTCATTCATTCTTCAAGGTAGTGTGTAAGCTGCAAAACAGGACAAGATAGCGTTTAAATAATCATCAGTATAAATATGAAACAAATTTTACGAATAATTAACAACATACGTCCACATTTGAAGCCAACAGGACGATTAGCAAGGTTGCAACGCTTAGGGATAGTTATTGCAACTTCAGGATTAGCTCCAGAGAGCTTAGCAGTATTTGAGAGCATAACAGCACAAAGACATTTCGGTTTTTTCCCCAATTTTTGTATCTGTAAACAACAGCTCCTGGAAACAGATGCATTCTCATCCGATGCTGCTTCTGCACATGGAATCAACTTCATAGCTTCCATATCCGGAGAATTTCTCCCGCATTCACCTGCTCCATTAGCTCCAGCAATGCTCAATAGCACCACAAATCCGACAACACATAACAAGTACTTATTCATTGTTGCAAGTATTTTTCGTTCCTACAAATTCCATGATATGTTAATTTATATAACAAAATTTCATAGTGGGAGAGGCACTAAAATTAAACATACTCTATTGTTAATATTGTAGGTGCTTTGTCAAAAGCATGTTCATTATTATCAACATTAAGAGGTGCTTGATTACTTTAGAAAAACATAACACTTGAAGATAATTTCAATTATATATACAAGTAGCTAGTGACTCAAATGCTTACACCATTAACATATAAAGTAGAGTAAACAATAGAGGTTCATCATTTAGAAGGAAATTAAATACTCACCACTATAACAAGAAAATTTGTAATGAGAAATTTAAAAAAGAAAAAATTCGCCGTTGCCGGGGATCGAACCCGGGTCACCAGCGTGACAGGCGGGAATACTTACCACTATACTACAAGGACATATTTGATTAACATCTATTGAGTGTATATTACATCATGTTTATTTAGGTTTTTTTAATTGCATTTGGGTTTGATCTTTACTTTGTAGCTCACTGTTTCTACATTGTAATAAAATCATGATGTGCTTTATTATGAAAACAAAAAAACTTACTCTTGAAAGGGAAATTGACTGATAGGCTACTTCATAGTTTGGATAATGATATACCCATAAAAACAACAATAACATATCTAATGGAGTCTGAAGAGAATGATGTGTACGCAGTCTTATGGAGAAGTGAATAATACTATTAACAAATTATATAATAATCGAAACAAGATAATAAATATTAATAATAAAAATGAAATCTCACGTTTTAAAAATGAGAAGTTATGTGTTAATTTGTCTAGGACATTGAAATTAATTAGTTTGATCGATAAAATTATTAGTTCTTCATAAATACGAATTTCATGGAGGAGTATATTAATTCTATTCTACTATATTATAAAAGAGAGTTTAGGCCCAAGTATAATATATAATATTCAAGATTGGGACTTTCTTGAATATTATATATTATATTAATTATTTAGTAGAACTTGGGCATAAACTCCCTTTTAAAATAATATAGAATATATATATATATATCACAAATGGAAAAGTCTCAATCAAGGAAGCAACATATATCATTTACAAATGACTTAAAAAGCTTAAAAATATTTAAAAGCTATATAATAAAATAGGTTGACTCTCAGAATTCTATCAGGCTCACATATATTGGAACAGAAAAAATAACACTTATCATTTTAATATTATCAAAAAAGTATTATAAATAATAATAATTAACAACTTAAAATATCTGAAAGACATTTTAAAAGGGTTAATTTTGTAATTTTATTCATATCACATAAATTAGGACAAAGTGACCAGTAATGTATGTTATTTCAAAGTTACATAAAAATATTATAAATCACAATAATTAATAACTTAAAACATTTTTTAAAAAAAATGAAAATTTGGATGACTCTCCAAATTTCATTTGTGTCACATAAATTGAGACAACAAAAATAACATATATTGGATCCATTTTAATTTATTTGTCTTATTTTTTTTTATATTTAAAAATTGTGTTAAAATACTATAAATCATGATAATTGATAACATAAAATATGTTTTGAAAAAAAATACAAAAAATTCCACTGATTCTTGAAGTGAATCTATCGTAAAATACTATAAATCATGATAATTGACAACATAAAATATTTCAAAAATGTTGCATGTGGGTAGTCTTATTATGCCTTAAATAGCGTCAAAGAAAGTATAGGTTTGTGATAAAAAAAACTTATTCCTTTATCTACGCAAACAATCGCTTCAAAAACTCGGTTATTAGCCCCAAAACATACCATTTATATTATTGGGCCCGTGCATAGCACGATATGTATATATATATATATATCTCACAAATGGAAAAGTTCCAATCAAGGAAGCAACATATATCATTTACAAATAACTTAAAAAGCATTAAATTACAATAATTACCAATTTAAAATATTTAAAAGCTATATAATAACATAGGTTGACTCTCAGAATTCTATCAGGCTCACATATATTGGGACAGAAAAAATAACACATATCATTTTAATATTACCAAAAAAATATTATAAATAATAATAATTAACAACTTAAAATATCTGAAAGACATTTTAAAAGGGTTAATTTTGTAATTTTATCCATATCACATAAATTAGGACAAAGTGACCAGTAATGTACGTTATTTCAAAGTTACATAAAATTATTATAAATAACAATAATTAATAACTTCAAACATTTTTAAAAAATATATGAAAATTTAGATGACTCTCCAAATTTCATTTGTGTCACATAAATTGAGACAACAAAACTAACATATATTGGGTCCATTTTAATTTATTTGTCTTATTTTTTTATATTTAAAAATTGCGTAAAAATATTATAAATCATAATAATTGACAACATAACATATGTTTTGAAAAAAAATACAAAAAATTCCACTGATTCTTGAAGTGAATCTATCGTAAAAATACTAAAAATCATGATAATTGACAACATAAAATATTTCAAAAATATTGTATGTGGGTAGTCTTATTATGCCTTAAATAGCGTCAAAGAAAGTACATGTTTGTGATAAAAAAAACTTATTCCTTTATCCACGCAAACAATCGCTTCAAAAACTCGGTTATTAGCCTCAAAATATACCATTTATATTATTGGGCCCGTGCATAGCACGGGCAACATTATCTAGTTTACTAATAAACTTTAATTTGGTGCAATGCTTTAATGTAAATCAGTAACAGTAATTATTGGTGGTTTGTCGACCACAACAACAACAATTGTTGTAGGATAGATAAGATCCCTCTATTATGAAAACTAGTACACGTGCCCGCGCGTTGCGCGGATGATTTAAAATGTAATAATTTTATAATTAAAAATAACTAATAAAATGTATAATGCACTTAAATAATATATTTAATTTATTATAATAACAATACAATAATACAAATCATTAACTTGTGTATTTGAGCAATATTAAATTAATATCATTAGTACACAATTTAATTTATTATATTAAAATATTATATATATATATATATATAATTTATTCTTTTTATGTAGTTTGAATAAAAAAATTATGTTAATAATTTATCAATTCTAACCTTCCATATGAAGTATTTGATATCATAAGACTAAATAACATGTTGAAACATTTTATATATGTTTATTCAAATTTAAAAGATTCAAAATATTATTTATTGTATTAATTTTTGTAAAATATAATATAAAATTAAAAATAATCTTAATTAGTACAATCACTATATTAGATTTAATCAATGTATGTAGATGATATATTAAATTTTAATTTGAATTATATCAGAAAACGTATGGATATAAATGAGAGGATGTTTATTTGAATTTTATCCGATAAAGCTTATTATATGTAATTATAGTTATCTTTGAATTCAAATTTAAAAAGGTAAAAATTGAAAATTAAAAGCTTATCATATATTTTAAAATCTCTATTTTCAACTTAATTTAATGTTGTTATATAATATTGGGAATAGTCTTAAATTTGCTAAATGACTTATAATAGTGATATTGTTCAAGATAGAATTTAACGCTAGCTAGATCATAAATATTATGTATCTTAAATTCAAAAGTTTAAATTTTATTTCTCATAAAATTATTTTCCAATTTTGAAATTTGATTGTCCTTTAAAAGTAATATTATGAAAACATAACTTAATACCTTCTATGTTTATGATAGTGATAAAGACTATCATTTTAACAATTTTTACTATGACGATTCCTCATGTATCTTGTGCTAAGGTTGAAAATCTGTAAAAATAAATAAATTTATTTATATAAATAAATAAATAATAATAATAATAAACGTGGAAGACATTAAATTATGTTTATCATAACATTATACTTGGATTATTATTATTATTATTATTATTATTAGTTATATTTTTTTTTATTATAGGTTATATCTTATTTTAAAAAAATATTTATTATTTTAAAATGCAAATAAAAAAACTTGAAATAAAATTTAAAATATTAAATAATATTTAAATGATAAATTTTAAAAGAAACTTCCATATGTGGGGTTTTTTAAATAAATAATTTTAATTAAAAGTTCTTCAATTTGTTTTGAAGTAGGAGTGTAATGGGAGGTTTTAAAATTCCCGATTTAGTTGGGTAATTATTTTTTTTACAAAATAAATATTAAAACACCATATTTTTTTTTCCATACGTGTTTTTTTAAATAAATAATTTTAATTTAAATGTTTTTCAATTTGGTTAAAAGTGGGAGTGTAATGGGAAGTTTTAAAACATCCTAGTTAGTTGGATAATTATTACTATTTTTTTTTCAAAATAAGATTAAAACGACATATTTAGTTGGTTGTTTTTTAAAAAAAAATTAATACATTAATATATTATTATTATTATCATTATTATTAGTTCTTTTTTCTTTACCGTAAAGATAGAACATATAGATTATAGGTTATATATATATATATATATATATATATAAAGATAGAACATAGATTTTGTTTTATAAGAAAAAAACTGATATAAAAGTTAAAATATTCAATAATATTTAAATATTTAAATGATAAATTTTAAAAGAAACTTTCATACCTAGCTTTTTAAAATAAATAATCTAAATAATATTAATTTAAAAGGTTTTCAATTTGTTTAGAAGTAGGATAAAACATAGAGATTATATGTTGTATTTTCCTTAAAAAATTATTTATTTTAAAATACAAATAACAAAAAAGAAATTGATATAAAACTTCAAAATATTAAATATTATTTAAATGATGAATTTTAAAAGAAACTTATATATATATATATATGTAGGTTTATAGTATGAGGATATCTAATTAGTTTTAATAATTTAAATTAAGATATTTCAAAGGATAATACTTGATAGTTCCATAAAATTAGATAATGCTTGATAGTTCTATAAAATAATTAGGCTCAAAAACTAAATTTTAGATGCAGAACTTCCGTGTGTTTTTTATTTTTATATTTTCAAAGTTATTTTTTTTTTATTTTAAACTTGAA